TATTGCTCACTTTGAGCCAATGTTCAGTTAAACATAGAACATCTATATTATTTTTTTCTAAGAACAATTGAATAATTAATTCACAGCCGAGAAAACTTTGTATGTTCTGGTGAACAATTTTCAATTCTGATAGCTTTCCCTTTGTCTTTTTCAGCAGTTTAAATCTGCAGTCATATTAAAATTTTTGTAAATAAAAGGATTCTTACTAGAATCAATATTTATGTCAATATTTTCAGTATGTTTAGTATTAACATTATATATATAATGGATTAATGCAACCCATTATATTACTTATAATGGGGTCATTTATATTATAAGCTAGTAAACTAGCTATATTTGTTATTTGTTTTTTAGGCAGATAAAATCTATCTCCAGTCATACAAAAGTTTGTAACAAATTTGTTACTATCAAAAAATAAAAAGTCATTATGACGACATGTCATATTATAAATTAAATTATTAATATAATATATGAACTTATTTTGTTCAATGGTCAGAGAACGACAGTAAGGAAATGCACATAATATTATTTTACCTATGCCCAGCTCAGCAATATTAAGCAAAGAGTTTACAAGTTTAATTACATGACTTTTTTTTACATATAAACAGTTGCCTAAAGCAATGACTAATGTGGTTAACTTATCATACCTACCATTAACCACCTTATTTAAAATATTAGGCAATGAAGCACCAGGAAGACAATTATTTATGACATGTTGATATAGACTTTCTGATAATGAATGGCCCAGACCCTTACCATATTCATCTGAATAAATAATTGTCCTTCGTACTGGTGCAACATTACAATTATCAGTTTTTAAAGACAAGTTAGAATTGAGTAAACTAGAACAAGGAGTGATTGACTCAGTCAAAACCGATGTAATTGACTTATTGTTATTTCCATTAAGGCTATACTGACAAGATTTAGGAGATTCAGGTGTCTCAAAACAACATTTCTCTGTCAATGAGGTGAACCGCTCCATGTTGTAATTTCCCAACTCAATTAATTTATCCAGCGATTTACTATAATTATTAATTTCAAGTTGAGCACACTCATATTTTTTTGTTAAATTAGATAATGAAGATTCTAACTCTTGAATTTTACTCTTTAATTTATTTTGTTCTAAATCCTTATCATGTAAATTTGTTTTACAATTTTGAAGTTCTTGTAACAGGTCTAATTTTTGTCTTCTAATATTTATAGATTTTAAACATTTAGTATGAGTTCTCACTAACTTTTCTGACTTTTTAATAAATTTGTTTATTTTTATATATTTTTAATTTATTGACACTATTAAATTGACTAATACAACTGTTTGAGCTGGGTGTATTAGTTAAATCTATGGTCACCAACGGCTGAGTAGACTTTTGATCACAAGTGACATTTAACAATTCTGTATACAGATCTAAGGTGTTATTGTAGCTACTCACCCGTTTGTGTTCCAACATAGATTCACTATGTGCTTGTGCTTCCTCAAGGTGTCTCTCGAGGTGAGTGATACGCTGTAAATTTGACTCATATGTGTCCCTGCAGTGATCATATTCATTAACAAGTTCCTGAAGTCTATCCCTGTCAACGCGTAGGTCCTCACAGAACACATTAATGTCTACAAGTTCCCCCTTCAGGGCCACATATTTGTCAAATAGAGATTTCATCTCTATTTCACTATCATCCGTTCCTGTAACAACACTTTATTCAAGTCTTGGGTTTTCTTTAATTCAACGAGTGCCACCTTAAGTTTAGCATCAAGATCACAGGCTCTTCGGGACATCATTATTAAATATGCTGAGTAATTAATTTAAATATAAAGGAACTTAATGGAATTTAGAATGTGTGCTATTTCCTTACAATATATTTATTTATAAATATATAATACCTATGTAATATGTAATATGTAAGTAATTTTAGTAAATTTGTTAATTATAAATAACAATACTAAATATTATTACTTGTAAGAATGGGTTTCTTGGGGTACTACACAAGCTCAAATAATAGAATTAAAAACAACCAATTCTAGAAGATTCAGTATTGTTATTGAAATATATATAAATAACTATTTAAATTAGTGAAAGTTTCACTCTCTTGTTGAGTATTTTAATGTAAGAATTAATTATATTTCAGTTAGTACTTACAATATTTGGTTAGTGGGTAATTTTTTTTTTCCTCGACGCACAACTGTAATTCACTTTTAAAGTTACCACAAAATTAACATGTAACACAAAATAAGTAATAATAAAGGAATGTTATAATAATTTAAATTGAATTACGCGATAACATGTACAAGATTGATGTAAATATAAGTTTATTACGAACTTTGACAGTTGACCGGTAAGAAATATTTATGTGTCGATTTTTGTACACAAATACTATATAAAAATACACAAACAACAATCGATACTTTTTATAGCTTAAACTCACTAATTATATCAATTACACTAAAAAAATTGAATAATAAATTAGATAAAAGTATTTAATTATTAGGGCCAGCTGACAAAGACAGTTATCGGTAATGTTGCCAGTCGAGGAAAAACAATCCATACATTTATAAATATTACACTTTAAAAATTAATAACAAATATATAATACTTTTGAGTATATCTTTGCGGTTTTGGTTCTTACTAAATAAAAGAAGTACGTCATGCAGCACCCTGTAGGGATATGCAAATATTGAGTTGAAAACATAATTAATACAATACAAAATAATTTAGTTACATTTGGAAATATTACACTTTAATGATTAATAACAAAAATATAATATTTTTGAGTATATCTTCGAACGTTAAATAAAAACATTAGATCAAGACGGTCATAAATTAATGATCACTAGTTACTCGCCCCGGCTTCGCTGTGTGTACATGTATCATCATTATTACATAGTATTATATATAAAATAAAGTTGCTGTCGTTGTCTGTCCATGTGTCCCGATCTGTCTGCGTTTTTTTTTAATAGATAGTCATTCTAGAGGAAGTTTTATATATATATATTAACTACCAACTCTTCTCGTCTTCGTCCGGGTGTAGTACACGTATTATACATATAAACCTTCCTCTTGAATTACTCTATCTATTAAAAAAATCGCTTCAAAATCTGTTTTAAAGATTTAAGCAGACAGCGACAACGACTTTATTTTATACTATGTAATGATAATGATATGGATTAGACGATATATCGCTAATGTTGTCAAATAGTTATCTTGTATACTTAAACTGTAATGGCGACAGTTCTCTGAACTGGCGACTAGCAGTCTATCAGGAATTATTATCAACATATTATGTATGATATTTCCGTGAAATAGATAAACATCTTTTATTATTATTTACATTTATTCTTATATAATACTAGCCGATCGGCTGCATTTTGAATTTTTGCTCCGCTCCTATTGGTTGTAACGTAATGTTATATAATATACCTCGAAAAATAGTATATGTAACTTTAGTACAATTTCCTTTCGAACCAACAGTTGCTGTGATTATTGCGTTCACCTAACAAACTCTTCAGCTTTTGCTAATTTCAGGAACTACCGGTTTGAATTGAAAAATTCTTTTTGTGTTGGATAGTCCATTTGTCGAAGACGACTTTAAGCTATGACCAATGATGCTACGAACAATAGAAGTGAAGCATCAGTGACAAATGTTGCAAAAACAGGAAAATTATTCAAATCTGTTGCGTGCGCTGCGTAAACGGTTCAAGTTATCAAGAAAATATGTATAAAGTGTTTTGATAACCACGCGAAGTCGCGGGCATAGCTATTACCGCGATATATAGTATACTATATATCTCGGTAATAGATTTGACTTTTTGTAGAGTTGAATGTAAGTAACATTATTGTTCTTACTGAATTATACTATGAACTTCCTATTACAATGTATAGATTTTGCTATGAATTTTGAATAATGACCTACCTATGTCAATTTGACTTTTCTCTGTATTTAATGAACGTTAAGGCTGAATATCCCCGTCCTTTCTCCATACAGAACGTTTTACTATTAAAGTTTTTTTTAATAACAATAACTAATTAAACTGGATACATTTCTGTCCAAGAATAAGGCAACAAAATATCGACTATTGTCACTAGTCAGAATTTCTTTAAACTAAAAGACGAACTACGTTTTTTAATAACACGTAAAACTCGATTTGCATCAAAAATAATGTACCTTTAGCTCATTCGTATGAAAAATCCAAAGACAGTATAAAATATTTAAAAATATTCTATTTGACAAATTTCAATGAATTTTCAGAACAACAAAAATGACTTTTATTTTTATTGTAATAGAGTAAGTCGAGTAGAGCAGAACCTAAATATTCGATTGAAATTAGTGCTATCGCGGATCGGTAAGGGGGAGACATAAAGACTCGGAATAGAGTTAGAAGGAATACTTAAGATAACCTACATCGTAATTTTATTACGTGTGTATCTATTCGGTAGAACTGGTAGCACTTTGTGAGACCCAGCTTATGTAAGACGATCACACACGCCGGTCTTTGTGAAAAGATATAGACCAAGCAACACACTCCTTTTAAAGAAACATACAGTTGTTTTCTCAAGCAACTAAGGTTACTTTAAGCGGAACACGGTTTTTTAAAATATTTATATTTTTTTAAGAATTTACAAAATAGATTAACTTGTATGATGACTATGACTTTATATCTGAAATTATGCGTTAAGATGGATAGATTTAAATTAGACAGCCGCGATAGTCTAGCGGTTTTGCACATTGCTTTACTTCCGATGGTCGCGGATTCGATTCCTCCCACGGTACACACATTTGTATTCATGAGTATAATTGTTTGTATCGATCTGGATGTTTTTTATGTATATTATGTACGTATTTACAAAAAAAAAATATCTAAGTGATACTAGACAACTGTTATAAATATATCAGTTGTCTAGTACCCATAATACAAGCTCTACTTACCGTGGACTAGATGGCGTTGTAATTGTCTAGGGTTATTTATTTATTAGACTATCATAGTACTAAAATAAAAACGAGAATACCACTTAATTTTATTTAATTACCAAAAGTTACATTACGTTATAAAAATGATTATATATAACTATATACTAATTGAGAGGTGGCACGATCTCGGTGGTATCTGTGTCGACATCGTAGAACTCATTGTCGGGCGCCTCGGCCTGCACGTGCCTGGAGAAGTCGTAGGTGAACACCTTGAGCTGGATGAAGCCCCCGGAACCGTCGGCGCCGCGGTGCATCAGACCGGCGCCGCTGAGCAACGCAGCGCCTATGGAATTGTTAGTAATGTGGATTAATAATCATATTGCTAGCAATGTACCATGTCAGATTGATCACCATCCGGTTCCCCTTGGAAAGCATCGTGATTCCTGTCAATTGGTCACGATGGGCTAACTGACCTGACCTCATGTTCACCTTATTATCCTCCACTGTTGCCAGGGTAAACCGGTAGCGGCAGGCGGGTGCAACATTACATATCATATCATACCATCCACAAAAAATACTGCAATTATAAATCTTTTCGCGCTGTGTTGTTCGCTGTGTGTTCAAAAAGTTATTTTTTTTTTTTTACTACGTACATAGATCCATATTCAAAAGTAACATATCGAAAAAGCGTATCTTAAGAAAAAAATATTTTCTTTATTAAAGTCACTCTGATGTCAGGCTAACTCGGATTAGATTATAGGAGTTAATCATATAGAACAAGTTTATTTTTACTATTTACAATAGTTGCGTGATGGATGCATTAGTCGATTTATTAATTACCTTTGAATGGCTGTACTGGTTGTACATCAATAAAGGGTACGGTGCTCTGTGCTGCGTCGGCATCGAAGTCGCTATGCGTAAACTCGACGTACTGGTCATGCGTGGAATCCACTGGTAGCGGAACGTGGCTGCGGCTCGGAATATCAGGCTTTTGCAGGACCAACCGCGATCTGAAATAGATGTTCATGCGTTCACAATAAATTTTAAATTCCTTTATATATATCAGTTATTATTTCTATCGTTGTCACTGGCCGCTTGGTTGTATGTTTATTATTACTTTTTATGCCTTCGTTCGTAAGTCATTGTTTTTTCTCTAAGTACAAAATCTTCTTTTCGTACTTTCGTGGTATTCAAAATAGGCTTTAAAAAAAAACATCAACAATTTATTTTTATACGTTCCAATAATTCTAATGACATCTAATTTAAATTATATATTCTTGTTTAAATGTTATGGACATGACAAACTTTCAACACAGCAATCTTATTTGTATTTGTATTAAAGGAACATAGGGACTTCATTTTAAAATTTATATACAAGTAAAGTTTAATTACATTTTTAGATAATTATAGATCTATGCAATATATACAGACCATGTACGTGTATTTAAAATGTGCTATTTGTATTTGTATGAATACATATAAAATTGTTACCTTGGTAATTCAGTTCCGTCAGTATTGTCATTACTGAGCCATTGACTCTTTTCGTGCTGAAGACGGCCGGTCGCGTAGTTGAACGGAGTTGAACGTATTTCAAAGTGTAGGTGAGCTCCCAATCTTGTGAATCTGTAACGTAAAATTATTAAATCATTAAACATAATTTCTATCTCTATACTTAATTAATATTTTAAAGTAAAAGAAACTACCTCACTCCTGTTAATACATGTCCGGCAGGCGAGTCCAAATCGTCCAGATCGATAGCTCTTCGTTCATACGTCAAAGTATGATAGTCAACGCCCTCTTTCAAAGCCTTATCACTTGGATCAAATTCTGTTATCGCTCCCCATGAGCCATGAGGGGTCACAGATCCTCGTTCGCCTAAAATTCCTTGAGTGATTTGAAGATGGAATACTCTACCAGACTTGACGAGACGAACTCCAGTCACAATCCTGAAATTATGAATAATTTATTACTTTGTACAATATTTAGACGAAGTCAGTTTGGACACCCGCACACCCATGCTGTTAGGACTGTACTTATATATACCCGAAGCACTAAATACACAGATCAATACAAATAATTACAGTGCAGTAAACTACTTAATAAGCAGAGGTTTTATGATTAGTAGTTCTACGAATCCCCCAATTGCATTAGGGACTAACTTATTTTTCTCTACATCTGCGACAGCTTCCTTCAAACTGAAAAACCGTTCCGCATTATCGACGTCGTCTTCACACAGGCATAGGCAGTACGAACAGTGGAGGAGCATTAATCTCCACCATGAGTCGACCTTAGGACAAAAACGAAGTTTTTGAGTAAAATGAAAGTGTCTTAGATATCTTTAAAGTTTTATATACATGCACCGATACAAGATTTATGTGCGGGTGTCCCTGTAAGTGCAAGGGACTAACTTGTTGGTTTTAACATCTGATGTTCTTTCCGCGAGGCTGAAGTACCGATGAGACCTGATGTCCGCGTCGTCACACAAACACATACAGTAGGAGCAGTGCCAGAACAACCAGCGCCACCACGAGTCCACCTGTAGATACTCTGACTATCGTCACTATTCTGTCATACTATTTTAGAATATGTATGCTTTATGTATTGTTACAATCTGTAGGCTGTATTTAAAATTAAATCACATCGAACAGGTAACATCTGTTACGCAGTGTCTATTTATTATTTGATCAATTATGCTTGAACTTGAATCGATTGTAATCAAAACTAATATTTTTTGCATGTTTTAAATGTCATTTTGATTTGATCGTAATTCATTATTAATGTTATCACGTTTATTAACAGTTAAGGTATATCCCACGTAGCCTAGATTGAATATTAAATTGCCTCACCTTAGTAGTACCCCTCGTGCAACTACCGACATTGCCGAGTGTGCGTCCATTCTCGTATTCGATCCACTCATACCGGCGACTGCTTCTTTCGCTCTGTAATTTATTACAAAAACTTGTTTAGTATCTACATCAACCGTTTAATGTTCTATAACATTTTGCATTTGTATAAATAATGCTTATAATATTTGACCAAATTGTTCAGGTTTTTTAGTCTAATACGGCAATTTGTTAATTTCTTATATTTGTCTAAAACTTTTTGGTGTTGCAACATTAACGGTAACAATTATTAAATTATTTTTTCATATTGCTGAATATACTTTGAAATCGTTACTTACCGCAGGACACACCCACATATCAGAATCGACGTATTGACAATCTATGATTCTGCCTTTGCATTTAGGCTGCTTTATACAGAATTGATCCTTAAAACAACCGTGGTTCTGTGCTAAGGTGTAGTACGCGCAATTTTCTCGGCAGGTTCCCTCGTCATTCATGTCCACTTCGTTTTCAATATATCCTTGCAGTAGACGAGTTACTTGCTCGTACGTTTCCCCTATAAAAATAAAAGATAGTAAGGAAAAATTATTTATTATTTTACTTTAAAATCAGTGCTGGTAACTATGTTTCCAGTATTGTGCAGAGTTGTGATCCACATTGACTCTGTTTTGCAACATTTGTAAATTATTGTTTGTTTTTTTTTATGTCAATTTTGTTGTATGATGGTGAGTCGATAAATTTCTATTCTATTCTGTATAAAATTATTTAAGTGGGGAAGTTGGTATCAGATTCCATCTATACGTATAAATAAAATTGGAGTGTCTGCTTGTAATATTGAAATAACCATTTTTTACTACATAATACACAACACACATATGTACCGTATTTATTCACAATATAAATACGGTACGTACACCAAAATAATATTTTATTGTTTGTTCCGGCTAATCTCTGAAATGGCTGGACCGATTTTGACGGAACTTTCTTTGGCAGGTAGATGATGTAATAAGGAGTATCTTAGGCTACTTTTATTTTAGAAAAATAAAGTTAAATTCCACGCGGACGAAGTCGCGGGAACAGCTAGTAAACAAATAAGAATACCAACGCAATATGTACCTTCAGCTTTATATAAGACGCTTCAAAATTATAATATATTCTATGTGCCTCATTCTTGATTCTTCTTCATTCTTGATTTCCATTGATTTATTTCTTACCTTCTATATGCTTTTGTGGATCACATTTGTAGAGATCTCGTCTGGCCTGAGACAGGGCAGCTCGGGCGGCCGCTGCGGTCTGGTTTGTCCTTTGTCCATATCGTTGCCTTGTTAGATTTGCCTCTTGTGTGAAGTTTCCTATAATGTTAATAAAGGCAAATAAATTTAAACCACATGTTTGGAAAATTATTATGTCAATGATTCATAATCTTATATAGTGTAACCGAAATAAATTCTATTTATGTAAGAAGGTGACCTAAAATTGTAGAATATCATAAGGAACAATATTGATTATTTAAGATATTGGTTGGTTTATTACTATTTTTTATTCTTTTATATATTCAAGGTTCAATTTCATTCGTATATTTGTTTGACCTATTCATATTATGTTCAGGAAAAAGAGCATAATGTACAGAATATATAATCGTAAATGTAAAACAGTATGTATATAATCGTTATCACTTATAACTTGACCTCTGTCGTTGGATCATATGGCTTATGCAGTATTATATATTGCAATGTTATTCTGATGTATCATAGCATTTGTGATGTACGAGACGTCACTTGTTACATTTCAGTTCCATAATGAGACTAACCTTCAACATTCATTCCATCCTTATTAGGCTATAAACAAAGAATCACTTGTATTGTTAGTGTTTATGTATTGAATTTTAATGTTAATTTGGTTTGTTTAAAGTTCAATCTGATTAATTAATTATTTTTCGTATCAGTTTGTGGTAATAACTCTAATATATAACCACAAAATATATTTTAGTCCTTGTCTATCATGTATGTATTGTGTTTAATTTACACTGAATTTACCGGATATACCGCCATATATACCTAACTATAGAATTTGTCGTTACGTACATACGATAACAATTCAATTTTATACTTCCATATGCTAAGTACATTTGCTTTAACAATTTGATATGAAGTATTTCAAATATACGTGTAAAATTACTTAAAGATCGGTTTGATCTGATTACTAAATTAACGCCACAAATCTAAAGTATCTCTTTTTTTAACTATTCTTTAGTTTGAAATAATGTTAACCAATTTAATAATTATTAATTATAATTAAATTCGCTTATATTCTCTTTAAGACATTATATTGGAGTTATTTGTACATTTGCCCAGACACAAAACAAACAAACAATAATAATACAGTATACTACTAATTAAATAACAATGTATTTATAAAGAACGTGTACATAAAACAATACATTATTTACACCAACAACAGCAGGTGCTATTAAAAAGCCAGTTTAAGCAATTCTACGTGACTGTAACAACATTTTATATAATGCTTTGAAAAATCTTGATTTAGATCATCAGACGTTATGTGAATTTATAAGAGTAGAAGAAATCATTCTGAAAATAGCACTCACCTTTTCCATAGACCCTGAGTAGCATCCACGAAAACTGCATCATGGCATACGCCTTGATTTCCGTCAGCGATATGGTGTTGTACATGTCGTAAATGAGCTGATGGGGCGACATCTGCAGCTCACATAAATCGGGATGTTGATCCTGGAAAAAGCAAATGGTTAATTAGTTTACCCGCATTTGTCAAATTTGTGAGTACGTTAAATGAGAAGGGAGTGAACCCTTATGCATTAGTTATACCATATGGTATTGTATATTCATGTATTGAAACGTGAGATTATAAAAGACCTTACATAATGTTAAATTTTATACATTAACTGTACCTACTAGGGCGTTGCAAATTGCGTTAAAATATGTCTACTAATTGTTCTCTAATTAGTAATTGAGTACATTTATTTTAAGGCGAAGTGGATAAAATTGATAACAAATTTTTTTAATTATATTATAGTCTAAAATGTATAACGCTTTTATACATATTCCAGCTACTCACCCCGGCTTCGGTGTACATGTATTATACATATAAACCTTCCTCTACAATCACTCGTATCTATTATAAATACCGCTTCAAAATCCGTTGCGTAGTTTTAATGATTTAAGCATACATAGGGACGGACACACAGCGAGCGCTACTTTGTTTTATACTATGTAATGATTTTCTATAGTATAATTATTTATCTATACAAAGATTTTCAGTTGTCGTATTGTCATTTAAATTTACATTGTGTTAAAAATGATTCACTGGTGAAATAGCGTCAACCGTTTAAAACGTTTGACGCTATTTCACGAGAGTAACTTGAAAGTTACTCTCGTATCTAGAACAGACCTCGCAAGTAAAGGTAGAAAGAATTACAATATTGTCTGATAAAAAACAATTGCCTTGAACACAATTGCCTTACCTTCGATTTATAAACTGAAATTATACTGTTTATTTATATTGCATTCAAGATTAGTTGAATATCAGGATAATGATAACCTATATAACGTATACACATATTTATCGTTGAATATTCAATTTAACCCCTGGCTAGAGATCTCAAATGTAGATAAGTAGAGATAGATAAATTATCCAAAAACTACTAGACAAATAAACCACTTTTCCTAAGATCAAAAGGGAGAGAATGGGAAAAAGGATTGTTAGTAAAAATCTCATTGCTAGCAATGTACCATGTCAGGTTGGCCTTCACGCGGTTCCCTCTAGAAATCAGCATGATAAATTCCTACTGAATTTGTCGCTATGGGCTAATTGATCTGACCTCATGCTCATGCTATCGTCCTCCACTGGAACCCCGCCAGCGTGAACCGTTAGCGCAGGCGGGTGTATCATTTCATTATCATACATTAAAGGAGGGAAACAATTGTAGATATAGCCCAATTTCAGTTAATAAACACAAAACCCCTATGCATGTTTGTTGAATTAATTTAACCTCATGTCACCAATTAAATGCTACTGGACTCATGCGAACAATTGTTTAAATTAGTATACGCTGGATATAATAACATAGTTAATTGTTGAATTGGATCTTGGAATCGTCGTTGAATCGGTCAAAACAAACGCATGAAAATTTAAACACAGATTAAATGGCACTTCAAATTCGTACTTTAGTCAAGTCTCTCTTTTGTTTATATTGAATAAATACTCATTTTTCGCTCGTAAATTTATGTGTATCTCAGTAATTTCGATAATTCTGCACTATTTATTGTTGATACAGTTATTTAGGTTTACTGCTACATTTGTGCCATATTAATTACCAGTTTTTAGTTTGTCTATTATTTTAACAGTGTTTTAGTATTGAATCAATTAAAAATTATGTTTGTTTACGTCTTGTATTGTGATAACACTTTCGTTCTAATTTCAAGACCGTATGATTCAAGTATTTGCTGCGTATATAAAATTATTGCATTAATCACTGAGTTTGTTTATGTTGAATGCTATTCTAGCCTATGTCGATAATACTGTTATGTCGCGCACCGTAATTGACTGTAACATAATTAAATACGACTCTATATGAACGACTAGCAGTTTTGATAAATACTATTTTGTTGTTTTCAATAATTTACCTACATAATTAGAAAGCGCAAATTCACCGCATTTTCTCTTGTTTTATTACCTGTAATATTCTTCTAAATAAACTGCCGTGTTGCACCGAATGTTCCAATAACTTCACAGCTTGTGGCACAGACGTCTTCGTGTCCATAAGTATACTTTCAGCTAAATCCAACCATTGCTTTACTGGGGCAGGCACTGAACCAGGGATTCCCTGGCGTTTCAAAAATTCTAAAAAGTTCTTGTACATCCCTTCGATGAGCTGTATCTGCTCCAAGGGCTTCTTCCACCACCATAGATTCAAAGGTGGACGAGGTACCGGCGGCGTTAACTGGATTATACTGTCGAATGCAACAAACGCCTTTGTTAGCTCGACGTCGCCGACGCCAGACTCGGCCCACTCCGGATCCAGAACGTTGAGCCATAGATTTCGTTCGACGTTGTAAAATTCCTTCCGTATGTGGTCAAGCGGGGTCAGATTGTCGGCAAGCACTAATGTCAGCAGCGCTAGAAGCGCTGTTAACCTCATTGTGACGCGTTATGAAAGGTATCGCAATACTGTACAGCTCGGGCAACACTGAACGGAGCCACTGACGGAGGCAGCGGCCGTCGGAGTGAGGGAACAGTTGTACGACGTGAATGACTAGTGGGGATCGTCGTAGTGATGCTATCACACTGTTAGACCCCACGGATATATCGATAAGATTATCTTTTATTGCGTTTTTATGTATTTTTAATCTTGTATCTTCTACCGTCTGTGTCTCTTTGACGTCCGAAAGTTTCACCCGATGAGCCAATACTAAAGAACAATGACATCGTCCACATAATTTATTGTTGTGTAAATCATTGAACTCGCAATCGACCTTCCAGTATCTAAATAAAATCCTATTGTTTTGTTAAAGTTTCCGCGATGAAAGGGAAATGTTTAATTGTTTAAATTGATTGATTGTCAATTAATCCAGGGTTTTTGTGGTGTCGTCGTAGTTTCCTCTGCACTTTATTATTAAAAATATCGCGTTTTATTAAATTTGTTTGATATAATTATAGTACACTTGCAGTTTTACATTAATTCACTTAACATAGTCATATAATAACTTTTGATACGTTTGTTATTATTTAGACTTACATTTATTTATCGAAAGCCAATCATTATTGCCCATGAGAAATCGACATCGATTATTTATCGTCTCTCACACAACACTGCCAGGACTGTTAACCCATCGCCGTGTAATGTTCTGCTTATTACGAGTCTTATATTCTTGTTAATATGGACTGTTTTAAAGTGCCACCGGTGGTATTATTATTAATACTCGTTTGCAAGTATTTGTATTGCGCGTCAGCTGACGACTCCTGCAAACCTGTTTGGAACGTGCTCAATTTTTATATAGCTCTTTGTTGCATTCTCGGAAATGACAAATCAACTTGTAGATAATAAATGTGTGCACCAACAAATGTATCTATGACATTTTTAATATTACTTTATGTTCTCACCGTCGTTAAGGTTAATCTGCTTATATGTTTACCAAGAATGACTTAGAGTTACTGTAAATACCTCATTAACTAATTTAATATGGTATTGTAGTAAAATATATGTATGTATAATTATATTAACCTAAATATAATAGACCATGTTCATAAATAATTTAAATATTTTTTTTTAGAATAAGTTATTACTTGGACGGTATATATATATCAAGTAGTGCCTATCGATATTTTAGTTCCCATCTCGCGTTTTCGTAGTAATTATTATCGATACTTTCAAATTATTTTTCTTACACTAGAGACTAGAGCATTCTGCAATTGAGCACTTCCTGACCCACGTTTCATTTTATTACTTGTCGATGAATTGATTTCGGAGGGTCCATATTGAAGGAACAAAATTTTATTATTTTTTTGTACTATCATGTTAGTAACTCATTGCCTGCGGTTTCACCCGGGTTAAATTTCAGTCAATAAAAATATAGCGTGTGTTATTCTGATGCATAAGCTATATTGCTGTAGAGTTTCATCAAAATTCGTTCAGAAGTCTTTACGTGAAAGAGTAAGAAACATCCATACTTACAAACTTTCGCGTTTATATTAAGATTAAGATATTGTAATTGTGAAATATTGAAAAAATGTTTGTACGTAAGACAACTGGAGCAGTTGTCTTACTACTTACACTATTGTTTTTCATGAAGAAATTATTATTTTACCTTAATATATAGAATATTGGCGAGATCAAATGTACAAAAAAGTAACCAAACTGACAACAGAGTTTCCCTATTTTAATTGCTGACTAACTCTCCATTGATAGAATACACCTTCAATACATATATAACAAAGTGTCGTATTATTAACAAAGTTCAAGTTCTGCATTATTCAGATGCATAAGCTATTACTATATTACTACTATTACTGTAAAGTTTCGTCAAAATACGTTTAGTGGTTTTTGCGTGAAAGAGTAAAGAGTAAACATCCATCCATACTTACAAACTTAGCAAAGTCCAAGTCCTGTGTTATTCTTATGTGTAAGCTATATTACTGTAAAGTTTCGTCAAAATACATTTTGTAGTTTTTGCGTGAAAGGGTAACAAACATCCATCCATAGTCACAAACTTTCGCGTTTATAATATTAGTAAGATGAAGTAGGTACGCCCATGTGTGTTTTTGTCTTAATCAACACATGATTCATGAATTCCGAGTTTCAAGTCGCAAAACTTGTTTCCGTTGTCCTAGAGTAGGCATGCAAAAAAGATCTCTATACTATGAATAATAAAAATTGATTCGCTTTGCTATTTTATAGAGCCGTTTGTATTTGACTAATGTTCTCAATAGCTATTCTAAATTTATATTTATACATTTTTTTGTTCGTTCTGTTTTGGTATCAATTTTAAACCACTGTATTATACTTTAGAATTACTCCAAAGGCATGTTACTAAAAAACTGAGACATCATCTTAAATAATATTATTTTTGTCAATTCATACATAAGTTATGACTTATGTATGAAACCCAGACTAATATAAACAATAACAATAAAAATAAGTATAAGGTAATCGAATTCGTGACTATTAAAGCGAAGGTAGAGTTCTGAACCGCTGAGCTACCAAGACCTTGCT